CCACAACTTTCACATCTGAAGAAAGAGAGGAGATTTATTAATTTTCGTTAAGAATAAATAAAGCAGTCTATATGATTCAGAATGAAAAAGCTAATAAATCCAATATCTCATGTTTTATTTAAAAAATATTTTACTGAATTTGGTATATAAACCAACTAATAAAAGGGTTTAGTCAGAAAATTACAAGCATTCGTGGCTCCAAATACTTGAGAAATCAGACTATACAATATAGACCGGTATGAGTGAAATGTTAGGTGAACTTGTTAACACTTTGATTCAATACGCAAATAAAAGTGAATGCGTAATAGTATGTTACAATGAGCAGCAATCAACAATGAGTATATATCCTCACTGATTAAAAAAATCTAACTGGAGGTGCATGAACTATTTGAAACCATAAGGGGTAAGTAAATATGTAATTTCGGCAAATGGGCAACTACGTACCGTACTGAATTAATAACTACGTAGTATTTGACAAAGGCTGGCTTTCCCACATGTACTTAACAGTGCGATGCCCGGGTGTGATATACAACAATAGTATTCACCTTACCTTTTACCGATTTCTTTTTACCCCAACTTTCAAAAATATCATTAAAATCGACAACAACTGTCAGAGCAGGCACGAACACCATTCGTGTTACGCCTTGAAAGCAGCACACATCCGCTCGTTTTCGTCTCGTCAAGTATGTGCATTGGAGCGTGCTATCGAATACGATCTTCGGACAAAAATGCCGGAGTTGCGCATCATGTTGTTTGATGTCATTGGTTGAAGCAATGACATTAAACAACTTGATGGGCAACTCTGACGTCACTCCATAAGACTACAGGCAAAACATTGTATTTCATGATACGCTCCAATGCACATATTTCTCGTCGCCTTTCGCGTCTGTTTTCCGCTCGCTTTTGCTACTCGGCGTCTTTTTTACGTGTAGTACCTGCCTTTTTGCGCCTGTAACGGAACAAAATAATCTCTATATCTAAGAAGTTTTGCTTACTTGGAAAGCTGGAATAACAGGCAAGCTGTAAAGAGCAATTCTGGACATCATAGACTTTTTTTTTATCAGAGAAGATTACAAACGCGATAGCGGAAAGATTTGTGTGGAACATTTTGCAGATAATGACAAAGTTCAAAGTTAGTAATTTTAATGTTTGCGCTTAATCATTGAAATTTCATTTAAAGAGGGTGTCATACAAAACTGTGCTGCGATACAATTCCATAACACAAAGTTTGCACCTATCGAACTTGCTTTTGTAGGTGAATTTATTAGACATATTACATATTCAGTTAATCGTAGGTAACATTGCTGGTACATAATGCATCGTAGATAGGTTTGTTTAAATTTAGGAATTTAGCTCATAGCCCACTAATTAATATTATCTTCTATGCAGGAGGTTGCAGGGCTGAATTCAACTTGCAGCCTTACCGATCACCTGACGATGCTCATTTAGTTTGGCTCGAGCAAGTCTTCTTGAAATGCTTGTGTGGATGGAAACTACCTATATTTTTTGCCTTCCTCCGATTTTAGACAAATTTATTCTGAGGGATTTCGCATATAATTCTCACTGATTGTTGGCTGTTTATAATTCCTATTGATTGTGAATTCTGATTATAACAATGAGTTGAAAATTTTTTTACCTAATTTACTGGGACCTTTTTCTTGTCAATACTCCAAGCTGAGGTAATAAACATGACAATACATTTATGTCATCTGGAAGCAAAATATGCACACTAATTAATAGTTTGGCACATTGAGATAATACATCATGACAGAAAATACAAGTTAAAGATATGTATGACCATCACATGGTAATTAAAATTAATAAAAATTTATAGGGGCTGTGGAGTATGGAAAGTTCAAGACAAAGAAAAGAACAAATCATGAACTCTCAATTTTGCCTCCATTGCTTTGTGAAGGCCAATATATTTCGAGTGGCTGAATTGGTTTACCTTTATGATAGCAACGATTTTGTATTTAATATAGCGAGATTATTTCAATTTAATTGAAGTGATATAATTTCCCAAAGCAATGCTTGAATCCTCTAGAATAGATCAGTGGTGTCAAACTCATGGGTTTTCGAGAGCCGCATTGCATTTTGAAAATTGTAAAAAGAGCCGCAAACAATTTTTGATAATGTATACTCAAAAGATATTTTTAAGATAGTTTTAGTTTGTGACATATATTGTGATGCAACTAAACAGTTGGATTAAGTTTTATTATTTTCTTCAATTTCAAATGCAATTACATATTAATATTTGCATTCCACTATTATTGCAACATTTGCAAGTTACAGTATTTATTATAAAAAATCGTAAAATTCTATGTACAACCATCAAAATCATTTTTGAACAAGCTTTGAATAAGGAAAGAATAATACATACACTAAAAATAACTTAATCTAAATATATGAACCTAAAATTAACAAAAATACTACAGTATAAACTCAATGTTTTAATAATTACATTTGTCCTGGCGTTTGGCATCTTTTTTATGTCACCAGCATACTAAGGCCAGTCTGAAATGATTTTATAGTACCAACTCTAACTAACGAGGCCACATGATCATGGGTTTATCTGGATCTTTACGAATGTTTAATTAATTCCAGTAATGCAAAAAAGTTACTTTTATCATTTCATGTATAGATCAGTAAAAAAACAAATGACAGATTTTTTCGACAAGACATTTCGCACTACATTGCGTGGCATAGGATTGCTTAAATTATTATTGATATTGATTTTTAGTAACTAAGTCGTTGTATAATTATATTAATATACAAACACATGGAAATTTTCTGTTCGAAGTTGGTCTTCGAATTTGTCATATTGACTGCTGAGCTTATTGTGTTTTTTGATTGTATTGATGGAAATATGACAAATTAAACAATGTGCTTCAGAATTTTGTGAAGAGCAGAAATGTTACAACTCCCATTTTCTTCGAAAATGCCACCTTCTTCATGTACTTTGCGTTTAATTTAATTACTCAAGTGTTTTATTCAAGTATTCTTTTGCTAGCTTGATGTGTATTCTTAATTGGGTCAAAATGTGGACAAAAAAAATTAATATTCCAAAACTACTTTCAGTAAATTGTTTTCTGTGTGAATAATCAATTTCACTTTAGAAGGTTTGAAAAATCTATTACATTTAGATAAAAAAAAACTTCCAAAATACTATTACAATTATTGTTAAGCGTTCGAGGGCCGCACTGGAAGTTCTCTGGGGCCGCGAGTTTGAGATCCCTGGTCTAGATTGGAGTTGTTCAAAAAATATATGGTAGTATTTTGGTCTAGATTGGAGTTGTTCAAAAAAATATATGGTAGTATTTTATCATGAATGATGATGATACCCCTTCCGGAATTTCTTCTATAGTACTACCAAAAGTTGATGAACCAAATATAACACAGGTGCAGTGAAGTACCCGTAATCCTCATTTCCAAAGCTGTTTTAAGTATGTCTGGCGTGTTTTGTGCCTTTTTACAAATAAGACCGCTTATGCAATCTTACGCTTTGGAATTTTTAGTTATTTTCCTCAAGCCCTGCAGGATGTGGGGGCCATACACAACTCTACCGGAGGGTCAAATGTCTTTGCATGCCTCCATAGGTTGTTTTTCTATTGCAATTTTCTATTTTCAATTGCATTATATTTCTTGGAATCACACTGTCACTGATATGTCGCCAGACTTCTGATATCTCCTCGTCTGCTATAGTTGTCCTGTGAATAAATAATAGAAAATTGAGATTAGACGAATAGTTGAAAGTTTTGCTTTATGTCGGCTTAATTTCTTGATTGATATACTTACTATTTCTGCTATTGCCTCTTGTGCTGCAAGAGTCTCACAATGCTTAGACAGGTTTGTTCACAACTTTCACATCTGAAGAAAGAGAGGAGATTTATTAATTTTCGTTAAGAATAAATAAAGCAGTCTATATGATTCAGAATGGAAAAGCTAATAAATCCAATATCTCATGTTTTATTTAAAAAATATTTTACTGAATTTGGTATATAAACCAACTAATAAAAGGGTTTAGTCAGAAAATTACAAGCATTCGTGGCTCCAAATACTTGAGAAATCAGACTATACAATATAGACCGGTATGAGTGTGAACTTGTTAACACTTTGATTCAATACGCAAATAAAAGTGAATGCGTAATAGTATGTTACAATGAGCAGCAATCAACAATGAGTATATATCCTCACTGATTAAAAAAATCTAACTGGAGGTGCATGAACTATTTGAAACCATAAGGGGTAAGTAAATATGTAATTTCGGCAAATGGGCAACTACGTACCGTACTGAATTAATAACTTCGTAGTATTTGACAAAGGCTGGCTTTCCCACATGTACTTAACAGTGCGATGCCCGGGTGTGATATACAACAATAGTATTCACCTTACCTTTTACCGATTTCTTTTTACCCCAACTTTCAAAAATATCATTAAAATCGACAACAACTGTCAAAGCAGGCACGAACACCATTCGTGCTACGCCTTGAAAGCAGCACACATCCGCTCGTTTTCGTCTCGTCAAGTATGTGCATTGGAGCGTGCTATCGAATACGATCTTCGGACAAAAATGCCGGAGTTGCGCATCATGTTGTTTAATGTCATTGGTTGAAGTAATCATATAGTAATCTATTGTTAGCTAAAATTAACTTAATTTTGAATCAAAATGATAGGTATAAACATGTTAACCAGTTTCGAAATGCCGACTTTTGTATGACGGAGTTTAGTAAATCCAGCTTTTCACGTATTTAGCACATCTTTCCAAAAACATGGTTTTATATAAAAAAAAAAAAGTTTTGGCTGTTTCTTATCTTCAAAAATCCCATTCAACGCCCTACGCAATATGTGACACGCGATAGTGGATGGATCAATGAAATTCTCATTAGATGAACAAAAATTAGTCCCGATAAAGATGCAATAGACAAGACTAAAATTAGCTGATAGTACTTACAGATAGCAGAAGATTGAATATTTTGAATCAAAACAGTTGTTGATTATTCGCTATTTGATTAAGATTTGCTAATAACTAACTTAACTTACAATAATTTATTATAACTGTACTGAATACAATCTGAAAATGGAGGGAAAGTTTGCTCAGCTAACAAGTAAACTGGAATTAATGGAAAAGAGAATCACCAATAACTTGAAGATTGAGATAAAGGCAATAGTGGAAGATAGCCTTAAAGACCTTTTAGAAGAATCAATCAATGAGCATGATAGGAAAATCTCAATCCAGATAGATGAATCTGTGCTGAATAACACCCAGCAAATGGCTGAAAGGCTCGAGACCATGTTCAAGCAAACCGATAGTCTTGTGAATAAGGTTGATTCACTCAGGGAGGACATGAATGGGATTCATGCCACGAATACCACTCTTCAGCAAGATGTGCAGGTGGTGCATGCAAGTCAAAATTTTATTAATGCTGAATTCGAGATACAAAAAGATTACCTATCTGATCTTCATCGCAAAGTCGAAGAGTTGTCAGCCTCTAATGAAGCACTTAAAGAACTCATATCATCTCTGCAAAAAAGGTTCGACAAGGATTTTGAAGATTTGGCCCAATACGTACGACGTGAAAATTTGGAATTTCATGGTATACCCTACTCAGAAGATGAAAATACTGATGAACTTATAATAAAAATAGGAAAACTGCTAAAGATAAATGTGGAAAGGCTTGACATCTCAATCTCTCATAGACTACCTCGAAGAGACAAATCAAAGATCCCCCCCATAATTGTCAGGTTCACGAATAGAAACAAAAGGAACGAATTTATTGATAGAAAACGTAATATATCCAGCATCGGAAATTTTGGGATACAAGGAATGAAATCGCTTTTCATTAATGAAAATTTAACAGAATTCAGGAATAACCTCTTATATAATGCCCGCAAATCAAGAAAATCAAATAACTATGAACGGCTCTGGACAACCAATGGTAATATCTATATGAGGAAGAACAAAGATGCCCCAAGAGTCCCAATCACAAAGCTGTCTGATATTGAAAACCTGAAGTAATCATCTTTTTTCAAGTAGGTTTCATTTGTCATATTATTGCCAAAAATGGCTCTTTTGAATTTCTGTTCTCTATGTGATAAGCCGTGTTTAAATAATTTTATCCCCTGTGATATATGCTATTCCAGAATCCATATTTCATGTTTTTCCAAATATTATCCCAACATTAGTCCTGGTGCAACTCACTATTGCTGCACCAATTCTGACCAAATACCCTTTGATGATAGTACTGATCCAAATAAGAGGGAAGTACAACAAAAAGTTTTAAATACTAGTGATTTTGAGTTTGAAAATGTTGCAAACTGTGTCTCTATGAATGAGCGAAATGACTTATTAACTACTTTCACCCAACTGAAAAAGAATTCCTTGGTTATTGCCCATTTAAACATTCGATCCATCCAAAAAAATATTGATGAGCTGTCAAGACTTGTATATGACCTAGGTTCATCTCCATCCTTCATAGCTATTTCTGAAACCAAACTAAAATCTGATCCTGTAACTAATATTAATTTAGATGGCTACGATTTCTATCATACACCATCTAGTACAAATGCTGGCGGTGTTGGCTTATATATAAAGACTTATTTCTCTCCTAACTTTATTGAGGATTATTACCTAAATGTTGCTGGATGTGAAGAACTCTGGGTTGAGGTTCCTATTAGAGCAGCCAAACCCTATTCTTTGACTGTGGGTATAATCTATCGCCACCCCAACTCGGATCATCAGGAGTTCTCATATAAGCTACAAAATAGTCTTCATAATTTAACCCATGATAAGAAATTTTTTTTTATAGTTGGTGATATAAACATCAACCTCCATGAAAATTCCAACTTTACGAAGCAGTACCTAGAAATGCTTCAATCCCATGCCACAATTCCATTGATTACGCTTCCCACAAGAGTGACAAGTAATACTGCTAATTTACTTGATCATATGTATACAAATATTATAGATAAAAATATTAAACCAATTGTTTTGCATGATAATCTGACAGATCATTTTCCTATTTTTTGCCATCTTGAGATGAATTATGTACGCCCCAGGCATGTTTCGGAATTGAAACGGGACATGAAACATTTTAATCTTGACCAATTTTTAACTGATGCCCAATTTATTTTTAGAAATGACATGTTGAGTACTGAGGTAGGAGCTGATGATTATGACATAGTTTTTAATGAATCTGTCAACCGACTAAGAAATTTAATTGATAAATATGCCCCCTTGAAAAAAGTTAGTAGAAAGGAACGTCGATTGAAGCAAAAACCATGGATTACACCTGGAATATTACGGTCTGCAAAAAAACGAGATAAATTACATAAAACTTCATTTTTAAATGGCACTGATATTGAAAAACGCCAATATAAGAAATATTCCAACACTCTCTCTCATATTAAAAATAGAGCAAAGGAGGAGTACTTTGCAAAATGTTTCGATAAGTATAGGAAAGATTCGAAAATGACATGGAATACCATCAACTCAATCATTAATAAAAAATATTAAAAAAAAATCATCCGAACACTCTGCGTGATGAGACTCTTAATAAATCAACTGAAGATCCAGTTGACATTTGTAATGTTTTTAATAATTATTTTTCCCAGATTGGGCCGACGCTTGCCTCAGCTTTTTCAAACAGCAATTACGATTTTATGAAATATTTAAAGCAACCCATTAAATCGTCAATGTATCTAGAGCCCACCACCACCAACGAAATTGAAATGCTTATTTCCACGCTTGCGACTGGTAAAGCAGAAGGTCACGACCGCGTTCCGGTCTATTTGATTAAAATTTTAAAGACCATCATTAGTCCAACCCTGTGTAATCTTTTCAACATCTCCATGACCCTGGGTATTTTTCCCAAGCATTTGAAGGTTGCCAGAGTTGTACCGGTTTACAAATCTGGAAATAAGGAAACCGTGTCAAATTATCGCCCCATCTCGGTACTGTCTTGTCTTTCAATTCTTTATGAGAAAGTATTACTAAAGAGACTGAAATCTTTTTTGGACAAAAACTCAATTCTAAATAGGGACCAATTTGGCTTTAGGGATGGACATTGCACTTCACATGCTATATTAGATATTATCAGCCATTACTATAACGTTATAGATGAAGGCTCATTAGGTTGTAGTGTATTTCTGGATTTGAAAAAAGCATTCGATACAGTGGATCATGATATCTTAATTACAAAACTTAATTACTATGGAATTCGGGGAGTAGCCAATAAATTGTTCAAAAGTTATTTGCAAAATAGACGTCAATTTGTAAGTTTGGTTGGTTGTCAATCGATAAGTGAAAAGGTGTCGGTAGGGGTCCCCCAGGGCTCAGTTCTGGGGCCTACCCTTTTTTTAATTCATGTAAATGATATTGTCAATGCCATTAGGGCTCCAATTAAACTTTTCGCTGATGATACTAGTGCTACTTTCGCTGCAAAAAATCTGTCCGACCTAGAAAATATAGTTAATAGGGATCTATATTGTATATCAGAATGGCTAATTAAAAACAAGCTAACTGTCAATCCTAGTAAATCCCAAGTTTTATTGATTAATTGTAGCAAAAGCCTTAAAAATTCGAACCTCACTCCAAAATTTATACTAAACGACTCATTACTTAGTATCTGTGACTCTGTCAAATATCTTGGAGTTATTCTAGACAATAAGCTAAACTGGCATAGGCATATTAATCAACTTGCAGGTAGGCTGTCCAGAGCCATAGGTGCTATGTCTAAACTGAGACCGTTTGTATCTGAAAAGGTATTAAGAACCGTATATTTCGCTCTATTTTACTCACATCTTCAATATGGAATTGTGGCATGGGGTTCTGCCCTAAGACTTATATGGATAGGATTAGAATACTTCAAAATCGTGCAGTAAGGTTAATGAGTGGTACTCGTTTTCGTGAGAGAATAAGTCCCAGTTATAAAAAGATGAATATTCTTACAGTAGCTGATGTATATAAATTCGAAATAGCGAAAATCATGTTTCAATTTAAACATGGAATTCTGCCTGAAATTTTCGATAGCTACTTCACAAATTGTAGTAATGTCCACCAATACAACACTCGTTTAGCGGGTAGAGGAGCATATTTTGTTAGTCGGACAAGTTCCAGTCTGGCCCGCGACTCCATTAAAATTACTGGTCCAAGTATTTGGAACTCTATTCCCAATGAAATCATAGATTCGTCTTATAGCTGTTTCAAATATAAGTATATGAAGTATCTCATAAATAAATATTAATATGTGTAGGGATATATTTTCTGTATTTTTTTTTTTTTTTTTTTTGCATCTTAATAACTATTTCACTCACGATTTGCATCTTTATCTTTGCAAATATAATCTATTAAGTCAGCTCTTTCTATATAGAAATTTAATTTTCCTCCTGATGTGATAGCTATATATAGTACATGAGTTGGCTTGCATGTAACACCAACAGTTTTCATCATAAGCCAAACTATAAACTATTCAGCATTTGTACTTTTTGACATAATATGAGGTTATAGTAGTTACCGTAGGCGTAAACCCTTATATTGTTACCTGATAAAATTTGACTGCTTTTAGCATATGTACTTTTCATAGTTAACTTTCCCAATGATGCTCTTTATTTTCATTACTTGCAAGAATGGAATTACCAAAATGTCAAATTTCATCTCTGCATCACAATTGTTTGTCACTATAATAGTTACTATCATTGTTGTTCAATTCAAATGTTATCAGTTATGTGTGGTATCTATTATTATATTTCGAGATTTTTGGAACAAAGTTTCCTCTAATTGCTCAATTTTCATTACGGTATATGTTGTGCAGTTGCACTTGTCATAATTGAATAATGTTAAATCTCTTAGCCAAATTGATTGTGCAATTCCAATTACTTTTACCCTGCATTTCAGTCATTCCTGACTATATTCGTATTTTTAGTTGTGTTGTGTAATGGATAAGTTCCACTCCCATAGCTCAAATCACTTGTAATATTTCTTCTCAATACACACAACTTACTGCTCTACATTGTTGCAGGTTTGTGTCAAGGTCCTTTCACCATACCAGTGTTTATTTAATTACTATCATTGCTATTGTTGATCAATGGAATGGTGCTTTTTCATATATTTTGGTGTATATGATATTGCTATGTGTTGTTGATTAATTAATGTATGTAGTAGTATGTGTACCAGTGGGCGGGTAACTGGTTTTGTTCGCCTGCTTTACATCGGGTTATATGAGGTGACTGAGTCCTGTTTGGAAAGAAACTCATTTGCTCCCAAGCCCCTGATGGAACTAAGATAAAGAAGGTCTGGATAGGATTTGGGTCTGGCCCAAACATGGTACACATACTACGGGAGTTCAATTAATATTTTCATGTTTTTGTTATTTACTTTCCTTATACTGTGTATGTATCACTAAGTTGCACTAAAATATTTTCCACATTCTCGTCACATTAAAATTTTGTCCCTGATCCACTGTTTATATATATCCAATTATTTATTATTTCTATTTATTATCGTTTCAAGCCCAATTGAATTTATGAATTTAGTAATTTAGTTTTCAGCTAAATATTAAATTTCCATAGCATTATTCTGGTCGCTTTAGATTAACATAGGACACCCCCCTTCCTTTTTTGTTTTCTTCTATTTTCTTTCTTTTAAAAATACTCATAACAATGCATTTACCCACGAGTCTCCTAATTTTATTCAGAATTTTATTGTAAAAATATTAATGTAATAGTTTAAGTAGTTTTGTCACTGGTCATCTTTCAGTGTTATCTTAATAAAATCAGCATATATGGTGGGAGCTGACTTCGATGACCGTATGGTCGTATCGCTTCCTCCTGTCCATACCAAAAAAAAAATTTTTTTTGCTAGTGCTATTTTACTGATGACTATTTTTTACGTTTTTTGGTTGACGAAATAATAAAATCTCTCTCTCTCTCTCTCTGTTAATACGAAAAAATGTTTATAAAATTTCTGCAATGATGGAGCATAGGAACAATCTGGGGTCAAGGGTCGGAAAAACATCCTTGATTTAGTTTTGCTGTCCGAATTTGTAGTATGCGTAACACGTGAAATATTGGGTTTTAATTAAACCTCGTTGAACATATTACAGTGTGCGCTACCGTTTTGCACCGCTTCTAAATTCTTTTTATTGTATTGCATTCTTATTATATGCAGAGATGTCGAAACGAAACTATGAATGGTACGGTAGTGCAGTTATACGGTGAGTGTAGGTGATAGCAGCATAGTGCGTACCGGTACCGTAGTGATCAGATCATCATGATGCTTTCATCTGTTCATGGCCGAAAAATTAAAACACTAGGCTAATGACCTTTATTTCCATTTTATACAAAATAGATGCCGCCAAGTTTTTGTGCTGTGATACCACATAAAGTTGTACCGTACAATTACGCTTGAGCAACACTTCAAAATCAAATAAAATCTTGGCTACAAATAAATAAAATCAGCAACTTCCAAGTTTTTTTGGAAAAAACCTGGAGTCTCATGTAGTTTCATACCTAACATACTTCTAGTGGGCGTAGCATGACAATTATTTCATATATCAATCCTAACCCCTAGCGGACTACACCATCCAAAAATTACATCATTACGACGTCACATGGACGTAATAATCCCTTCAAACTATATGATCTGCCATTCAAGACGCGCAAATGAGCACCCGAAATCGAACAGTTATTTCTCTCGTTTTCTCGTTGCAGCGATTCCAATAGCAGAGAGATCGATAACTTCAGTCAGTTATTTATTATCTGCGCCAATGCCGTTTTGGGCGATCGTATGTATATTTGGCAAGCTCTATGACATGATCGTGATGTCGTAGTGACGTAATTTTTGGATGGCGTAGTCAGATGGGGGTTAGGATTGACATATCAAAAAATTGTTATGCTACGCCCACTAGAAGTACGTTAGGTACCGGTACGAAACTACACGAGACCCAAAACGTGTAACCCAAGATGATTGTCGGCTGATATTACGGTATATATTATCGTTACAGGTATCGGAATACAGTAATATTTAATTTCAGGTGTTTATCTGATAGTACAGTTCAACAGTGACGGAGTTTTGGAGTTACAAAGCATTACTGCATTTGGCTATAATCTATTTCAGTCTTTCCGCATATGTTGGCATGTACCGACCGTACAGTATCTGACAACCAGAGTTATATTTGAATACTGATAATGACGAGTGAAGATTTACAGAGTGACGCTGTTCAATCCACAGACACAAATGAAAATGAGATTTCAGAATTTCTAGTAAATGATGAAAACGTAACATTTCAATCTCTTGGATTAAAAGATGTTCTTTGTGAAACTTGTCAAGACTTAAAATGGAACACACCTTCAAGAATCCAACAAGAATCTATACCAGTTGCCCTTGATGGTAAAGATGTGATCGGCCTTGCAGAAACTGGCTCAGGAAAAACTGGTGCTTTTTGCTTGCCTATACTGCAGGTGACTTTTCTTAATATTTTAAATTTTGCCTTGCTCTTGTGTTCAAGTACATTTTAAATCTCTAGTTGTAGCAATATTATTTATGTTGTCATCAAACTTTCTAACGCTACTGGTATTGCGAATACCGAGATATTCTTATTTTAATAAATGAATTTGTGGTTTTGTGCTAGTTATTCTATATTTCAGTATTTTCTCAACTGGATGTGTTATTCTATTTCAGGCTTTACTGGATACACCTCAAAGACTTTTCGCCTTAGTCTTAACACCAACAAGAGAACTGGCATTTCAGATTGATGAGCAATTTAAAGCCCTTGGATCTGCTATTGGCATAAAATCCACTGTCGTTGTTGGAGGAGTGGACATGATGGGTCAAGCCATTATGCTCGCAAAAAAGCCTCATGTTATCATTGCCACACCAGGTAAAGTAATTCTCTTTTGATTTCTCTATGTACTTATTATTATTAAAGGCACTATTTCTAGATTACATGCAAATACATCCACAGCTCAACTTTAGGCGCTCACATAGTATTTATATCAAGATGGCGCACAACCTGCCAACCCTAACCTGGTACACATACTATGTTCAGGCTGTGCGCAATCTTGGTACGAATACTACGGGAGCACCCAACTTTATATATATGTATTCTGAAGCCTGAGATTAAATATTATTTAGTGCATCATTTTTTTTTAGAAATATCAAATTTAACAATTCACCACGAAGTTTGAATTGAAAATTCTATTTGAATCTTTGTTTTTTTATAGGTCGCCTAGTTGATCATCTTGAAAAAACAAAAGGATTTACCTTGCGAACATTAAAATTTTTGGTAATGGATGAAGCAGATAGGATATTGAATATGGATTTTGAAGCAGAAGTTGACAAAATCCTGAAGGTCTTTATCTTTGTTATTTCGAGACTTTCTTCAAAGAGAAATGATCATGCTCCAAAAAATTGTTTTTTATCTGTATAATTCAAATTTCTCTATGATTAGCTTTGAACCAACTCTAAGCCCCAGTTGAAAATTTTTGACTCAAGATGAATTTCAAATCATGTATGAATACATTTTTTTTCAATATCTGTTGAAAACTTTGACTTCAAGGAAAACAAGCCAACTGACTGACTACACCGCCCTGATTTTTTCAGATTCATTATTTTTTATTGATTCAGGCTATTCCCCGGGAAAGACAAACATTTCTATTTTCCGCCACAATGACAAAAAAAGTAAAAAAACTACAAAGAGCTGCGCTGAAGAATCCAGTTAAATGTGCAGTGAATACAAAATATCACACAGTAGAAAAACTGCAGCAATATTATTTATTTATACCTGCAAAGGAAAAGGACTGTTATCTTGTAACAGTATTAAATGAGCATGCAGGTAAGTTTTATATTTCTTTATTCCAGTCACTAAAACCTATCATGGTTTGTAAAAATTATTACGACGCCCGAAAATGGTCATTTTATTAATGAAAAGTTTAAAGAGAGATTATTCGATTCGTCAACTAAATAACACAAACACATAAGCTACAGAATTATATTATTTTTATCCGCAGATGAATAATTCGAACGTCATTGTCGTAGTCTGTTTACCAATGTAATTTTTCCAAGCTCATGTTCCACACCTTAAGAAAATTAGTAGCTATGTTTATTTATTCAATAGATTTTAAAGAATTTTAGGAAATCTTGAATTTCCAACTTCCAAGATATTTCTGATTTCCCTGTGAACTCAGTATGTTCATGACATGTATTTCTTTTTCTATCTAGGCAATTCATTCATTGTATTCTGTAGTACATGTGCAAACACTCAACGAACTGCTCTTCTTTTGCGTAATTTGGGATTTACAGCAATACCATTACATGGACAATTAACACAAGTAAGCAATCAATTCCTAATGCTCATTTGAACCCCGGCAAAAATAGAATCATCAAGAACACTGGAAGATTATTATTCTCTTTTACAGTAGTTCTCATCTTTTCAGTTTTGATAATTTTTCTAAAATTTGTGGACCATTTAACTATGATCAGTTAATAGAGTGGTTACAAGGGTTCTCACCCAGAAACAATACGTCTTATCAAGACTGATTTTGAATGAATGAATTTGAACCATTTTGAATTTAAAAGGATGATAACTCTCACAATGATGGGATACTCAAAAACAAACAGTGTCCCATTGATCAAAAGTTAAATGTTAATAAACATTTCTGTTCATGAACAAGATATTTTTAGTCTGGTTTATAGACGTTGTCATTGTTTCTCATCTAATACGGCCTAGGCCAGTAGTGAGTTGTTTCATTTTGCTCATTAGCTCTCATTGTGTAAATAGCTACTCCCATACCCAATCTGAACTACTAACGGGACGACAGACTCTTGAATACACTTTGGATGTTCCTTCAGTACAAATTTCTTACTCATAGTTCAACAGAACATAATTTCAACTTCAAAAAATAAATATTTGTTTTCAGCCAAAGCGGCTAGGTGCACTCCACAAATTTAAGAGCAAATCTCGGTCAATTCTAATAGCAACAGACGTCGCAAGCCGTGGTCTGGATATTCCTCATGTGGACGTTGTCATTAATTTTGATATTCCCACCCATTCAAAAGACTACATACACAGAGTTGGCAGAACTGCGAGAGCGGGAAGGGCTGGAAAAGCTGTTACATTTGTAACACAGTAAGTAGTAATCAAAGTAGGATGCACAGTCCACCAACAACTTTTACAATCGTAATTTCAACTTCTAATAAAATCGTTACATAGCACTTATTGTGTTTCTATTTTTTAGGTACGATGTTGAGCTTTACCAAAGAATAGAACATTTGATCGGAAAGAAATTACCCCTATATGAAACGAGAGAAGATGAGGTACATTCAAATTTGTTATGACATTTTTCACTGTGCCTATGCAAATAAAGTTTGCCAATTTGTCATCTCCATTTATCCTAGGCTGCCTAGTACTCCACCTTTTGACAACCGATGAGCATTATCTATTCCGACGTCTCACTTCAAATTGGCATTTCATACAAATTTTGATTATTACTGTATTCCATTATAATAAATAAATTTCAAATAGATACTTAGATACAAATGGATTTTATGCCATAGGTCAAAGTATTGCAAGAAAGAGTAATGGAGGCCCAGAGGATGGCTAGAATGGAAATGAAAGAATCTGAACAAAATAAAAGATCAAAAAATGGCCGAAGAAGAGGTGCAGTTGACGATGATGACACAGAGGAGACTTATGCAAAAGGCGATGGATTCATTAAAAAATTTAACAGCAGGAAAAATGTCAAAAGATGGAAAAAATGATGCTTCTTTGTAATATAAAATCTGTATAATATGTTTGTGGTTATCATGAGGCAGCAGAAATGTAATAGCGAGTCATGTGCAAAAACAGCTAGGACAAATTATGTGACAAAAAATATTTAATAAAACATGGCACTCGAAATTGTGTAATATTTCTGCAGCAGATAGTCATTCCATCAATTCAATACCAAAAATTCTTTTTGGGAAAAAGTTGAAGTCTATGAATCGTTTGTCTCGTTAAGACTCCCTTGTGCATGAACCGAAGGGAAAAGCAGGAGGCACACAAGTGTGCTGCATTTGTGGAGCCCAACAATAAGATGCAACTTTTACTAATGTCTTAAATAACTGACCCACAGTGTTTTTTGTAGTGAAAATATAATTTTTTGCTCATTCATTAAAAGTGGTTCGCCATTCCACATTTCTGAAGGATTACAGAGAATACTAAATGACATTTTTAATCTGCACTCTTGCGTTGAAACATTTTTTTAATCTTTGTAAAAAGAGATGAAAATGTGTATTCATGATTAGCAATATGAGAGAAAATTACATCAAATACAAGTTCATTGCACTTCAACACTAATATTCTATAATGAGGTGGAAATAATGCAAAATTCATCCCCTGAAAAATTGGCCACAGTGTTAAATCTATAGCTATAATAATTGGAAGTTTGTCTTTGAACTCTTGTACTGTCTGTGGCAATGTATTTCCACGAAGTGTGCTTAGCCCTCCAATAAACCATCCATACCAAATTGGCCCGCTCAGTAGATCAATCATCACTTTTGTTGCAACGATACCCGGTGATCTTCCAGGGAATTTGCCATCTAGAAATTTGTACCATATGTGCATAACTGGACCAGCAACTGTACACACAAGAGCCATATTAGCAGTTCTCTTTTTGTCCCACTCCCGTTCTGTTGAAAATTTTCTTTCTGATTTTTGTGCAACAGCATCGCCAAGAAATCCTAGTGAACCAGCTGTTATTGTGTTCGTTATGATAGAGTATTTACCAATGTATGCTCCTCTCACAGTTTGTAATGTTTTCATTAAAAATCGCATGCTCATGTACACCTAGCAATACGATATATTTTATGAAGGATTCTAAGTTGTGAGAATATCATCAATCATATGAGACTGAATGAAATGATAACAATATATTACATGCCTATATCTAAATGAACGTTTTATAGACAATATGATGATAAAATAAGTTTGTGTGACCTCTGCGATGGAGAGACTGTGGAGCCAAAACTTTGCTTTCAAGAAAATATTTCATACTTGCCTTGTTGACCCAACACTATATACCAGTAAGAGTTGAGTGTGTGGACATTGCACATGGTCTGTATAGGACTCAATGAATATCGTTTTAAACATATAAATCAATAAAAGCATTTCAATAACACACTGCTATCCGGTGTATCTGTAAGCAGGGTTTCACTTCGTTGTGAATATGTTTAATTGATGTTACAAACAGAGGTTTAGTTCGTTGTATTACCTCGACACTATGATAAGTCACTTTGAAATAAAACAGAGCATGTAAGAGACCAACCATGCTTCGTCAGATAATATCACGTTTGCATCCCTATGTCTGCATGTGAATATGTTTGTGTCAGAGGATACGATTTACATATTTATCCCATGGGAAGAGGAAAGGCGATAAGACGGCTGGACTATATGGCGGACCACGGCCACTCGTCCGGTTACCATTCCATTTCGGGTGTGGGATTTGTTTTTTGAAGGCATGCACTTGATGGTGGAGAAAGCCGGTTTACGTGAACCACCCTACAGCAGCAATGAGTCCAGCAATCCTCTCATATAAAATGAGGCATCATTGAGTAAGTTCACAACTGCAGAGTAAGGGATAAACCACACAAACCATGATTTTGTACGGCAACCCCTAAATATCTAGAATCTTTTTCACACAAAGCCATACCCCACGCAGAGAAAAAAAACCTAGGTTGGGTGAAAATTCGAAGTATACGCAACTTTATTGTGTCAACTGGTAAATACTGAATTATGATAGCCTGGATAGGTCCATAAAAGGAGAACTGAAATTCGTCCTATGATTAATCCGTCTTATCGTCTTTTCTCTCCCCCGGGATAAACATGTAAATCCTATCCTATCTCCTCATGGCACTTCAGGTTTAGATTATTAGGTTATGACGGTTACTACGTTAAGTCATGTCTCAGCGACTCCTTACAGCTCTACATTCTACAATGACGAAATGGGCTTAAACTAAATTAATCCAGACTCAAATATACGGTACCGGTAACTTTATACTGCCTGCGTACGGTAATTCTGTAGTAGTAGTACTATTAGTACCTTGTGACATTAGATATTATGAGCTTGAAACTATTACTGTATTACCGGTACGTACCGGTACACTACGGTAACTGGTTAACGCTTGGTGCGATTGTACCAGCAATATTGCAGAAGCCTACCCACAGACCCAGATACAGCAGCGATATTGGTCTATATTGGTACCGGTACCGTACGACAGCAATACACTTTGAATCTTTTACATACAGACATTTATTACCGTACCCGCTACCCACCGTCATAGGTGCTTTTGACGTTCGACCGAAGAACAATGCGACCGGCGCACATGGTGCTACAGGGCAATAATCACAGCGCGAAGGTACTGTGGCGAATAGCAAAGTGACTATAAACCAAGTGAGGACATGAATTGGTAACGTTATAAGCGCTCGTGTGATGTCACACCAGCCATTTTGTGTCCAGAGTTCTATCGCTGTATGATCCTAACTAAGTGATTTAAACCTGCGATCGTTAAACAGCTGATTAAAAAAACGATGCTCAATAATTCGGATCAAACTTTCGCAGCGACAAAACGAATGAACATCCTTTTAAAAAATTAATTATACGCAGATGTTTGCTCGGATAACTCGGCTCGGCGGTATGGTCAGCATATACGAAGTTAAGGTTAAAGTCATCCAACCTTACTCGATAAATCAACAACCCAATAAGACCAAAATATTAAACAAAAAAATACACATTTTATTATAAAATTGTGCCTGATGTAAGTATCGCTACTTGCACAGAACCTATTTTAACAAACTGACAGAACTACGATACAAATTATACTACAGAAACTTGCACTATTTTTGCGGTACATATCATGATATTAAAATATGCGTATCGCAAATTTTCAACAAGGTGTACATTGCCAAAATAATATCAAAAAAATATTCTACATGCATGTAATGAAGGATAACGGCGTATATCAAGTTTACAAGAACATCTAATAATCTGGAGTGTATAAAATAATATATTATCTATTTGACTTGAGCTCTTGCCGCAGGTCTACTAGCATACCGTTTTTCAATAATTTTATTTGTCTCCTCTTTTGCTTGAATATTTAACCTTAAATTGAGGAAACGTTCCAAAATTTTAAAAGCGATATTGTGGCAAGATGGGAAATTATATTTCAAGCAACTTTATCTGTCAGAAAAGTAACAGGCGAACATATATTAAGAAAGGCATTAATATTTGCGCGAAATATAGTTTATACTTCGCGCAAAAATACGATTGCTTTTTTAGATGGGTGGCATAAATATTGGGTAAAACTATCAATTTTCAAATATTTATCAGGTGTGTAAGACCTAAAAAAAGTTAGTAACGATTGTGGGCATTCATCGGGATTGACACTTTCCATAGAAACAAACAAATATTTTGAACCCCGTGTCTTTATAGGGTTCCCCCGGAAACATCAAGGCTAATTTTTCACTGTTGGATGTCGATAAAATTACAATTAATTTTTATCAACGAGAACGTAGAAGACATGATGGCGTCGCTAGGTCACCTAGTAAATATTTTACATTTTCCGACGCAAAAGAATCGAGATATCCTGCCAATAATAAGTTGATAAGAGCTGCAACACCAGTCGCGGCGGCTGGTTTTTAAATTTAGTACCTAATAATGTACATCAGGGGTCGGCAACCTAGGACCCGCGGAGCAATATAATCCAGCCCGCGACGCTTCACTGAAATATAGTAACAAATTATAGCTGTTTTGTCGAATATATTCTTTACGCAAAAGAATTTACGTGTAGACTAAATTATATTATATAGTAACAAGTATATAATTCACAATTACTCGTTTAACGAGCCTATAATTTAATTATAATTTAGACAAATGACAACAAAACGCAGAAAAGTTGATGCTAAGTGCAAATGGTTTAATGGCGCAAAAAATATTCAAATGGTCAGTCTTCGCGCGCTGCTCAAAATTTAACTTCTGATCTGTGTGATAAAATGTGATTCATCGGTCATCCATTCGATTTTTAACATTCTAAAAATATGTGCGGCCCGCCAATGACTTGCAACCTTTAATTTTGGCCCGCGAGCGACAAAAGGTTGCCGACCCCTGATGTACATGCTTCGATGAAATTCATTAGGTCGCACAATGTGCTAATCATGAGATCGTCTACATTCTATAATTTTTGGAGCAACTGTTGCAACAGCTCGTTGAATTAAGAAACAGTTTTCCGATAAAATTCATTTCATCAGATTCTGGAATGATTAATGTAAAACGCAGGCTTTAAACTTTCGGCGTGGTGTGAACAGGTATCATAATACCAGTTCAAATAGTACCTGATTTAAACGTATGCATTAGGTTAATGACGTTTCACACTTGCGTAGGAAAGCGATATGTGTTTTTCATACGGAACGTTGCTACGTTGCGACGTAATTGCGTAACGATGTAATTAGGGAACGCTGTTGCTTAACTCAAGTTGGCGCAGTGGACATGTTAAGAATAGACCTTATTCATTAAAAACCCATCCTACGCGCAAAAAGAAAAGTGATGTAAAAAAAAAATATTTAACATTAGCTCTTATGGGGAATGTGATCACCAGAGCAGAAATTTGCATTTTTTGTAATTTCTAGATATCTTTCAATGTAGACGTGAGCAGTTTTGAGGATAGAATATTTTTTACATCTTTTTTGATATTTTTATCATGATAAACATGGTCAAGATTTTTGATAATCGTTCATTAAAATTTTAATGAGCGAGGTGTTTCCGATGACGTCATTCTCACTAGACCATGAGATTCTGCCAACGCGCCGTGCTCTGTGGGATATGCACTGCAAATGCGGCGCTAATGTCGCTTTGGGTACGGTTCCGGTACTGGAAGCGTTTAACATTGACAATCTATAACCCATACCATTTCTATCACGTTTGTTTACTGGTTTTACGCAGTTATACCTGTACAGCTAGCAATCATTTACTGAAGGCATGCTGACGAGTTATTTAAACTACCGGTACCGTACCAAGGCTGCAAGAGGTGAAAACAAAATTATTTAGTAAATACTGAAATAGGCCTACGATCAAAAATGTTGGCCAGCCTGCCAATAGGCAGGATAAGTTGTACGGTACCGGTATACAAAAAAGATGAATATCTCCAACCTATAATGGTACAATACTGGTCTCCTAACTAGGTTAAAAACATGACTGAATACGAGAGAGAGATTTATTTCGTCAACCAGAATACAAGCATTGAATCAATAAAAAATATATACAAAACACACAGTTATTCGGTATAGACTGGGGAGCGATACGACCATCACAGTCAGCTCCCCCCCCCCCTTTTTTTTTTGTAGATTTTCACTTAGTGGACACTTAGCAAGTACGACAGTTAATTTATAAAAAAAAAATGTAAATTAATACCAAATCAGTAGAAGTCAGCTCAGGTATTCAAACATGTGATGATTGAAGTGAGAAAAAAATTTGAAGTCACGTTCAGGATATTACATTAAACAACAATGGAAAAGGTACATTGGAATCAGTCAAGCTTCAAATGCGAATGGCATTATTGAAAAGAATATGCGAAATGAAGACTGAAGTTTCCATCAGAGACATTGGAAGACGCTAAAACCTTATGTACTTGATAGTGTGGAAAGCCTTCTCACAATGCAGTAATAATGGGACATATATTTATAATATCATTATACAGGTTTTAAGTTGAACTATATGTTTAATTAAAATATCTAAATTTGCTAATAAATGCTGAAAACTATTTATTTCAATTGGCTGAGTAATTAGGGCCAGAAATTTGCTGTAGTGACCATCACCAGGGCCTCGAAATTCGGTTTCGAAGTTTGTAATTCTTTTCAAAACTTGACAAGTTTAAACCCTACAAAAAGTATATATATATATCAAGCTTTTCAGAGTAGAAAATTCTGTACACAACTGGTTTCAACCACATTGTAAACAGCCATTATTGCGTCGTTTGCATCATAATAAGGGAAATTATTATTATGCGCATTCTGCAGGAAGTTTATATGTTAAAGTATGGCTGTAGCGGTTGTTTGATCAAAGAAATTGGAAGCAAAACTGCCTCAA